ATATATATTAGACTTGAATGACAAATATTTCAGTCAGAGTGGTAGTTCTGTTTTCACAGTTGTAAAATGGGTTGGACTCAGGAAGCAGGCAGCCAGAAGGAGTCAAAGCAAAACTGATTTAATAACAAAGAAAATGGTCGATATGGCAGCAGACTACAAGGCCCAAAAACACGTGGAGCAGCCGGGATGTGTGGCAGGGAGCCAACACAATGCAGACAGCCTCACAAACACAAAGATTCACAACAAACAGAGACACTAACGAACTGTGAGGAGACAAGCAGGAGTGAGAGGAATTGAGGAGGGACGAACTGAAAAAGCAGACTCTAAGGGAACATGAACGCAGAAAGTAAAAAAAAAACCAAACACATCCGTGCTGATGAAATACAACTCAGTGCCTGCCAATGACTTCATTTATTAATATAAAATAGATTTAAAGCATGAAAATTGTTTATCCTTGTCTTTTTGTCAAGTAATTTATTTTAAATTAAACTTTATTTCAGAAAAAAAAAGAAAATAAACAGTATTTATTTAGTTGCTGGATGCATGGATTTCAGTAACTGTTGCCCCCTGAGTAATTCAGTTAAACACTCCTGTAATTGATATAAAAATATGTTTTAGCTAATCATTGTGCAATAAGGAACAAAGATACATCTCTGTAAGCAGTATGTGTCAGGCATTCTAGCTGTCAAATGTTAGGTTGGGTGGATGAAATGTGAGTTTTCTAAACCTTTTGATGTTCAGTTGTGCAACATCACATGGATGTTGGGTCCTGGGCCTCTGGAGTAGCAAACTGGAGAGATTGGCATCTTTTTTGAAGAGGGTGCACGAAAGTTTGTTCCTAAAGTGGTGTCGCACTTCTCAGCCTCCCTTGGCTGTTCACACTTTAATTCTTTCAAGATGTTTACAGGAAGTAGAGCAGTTTGAGTAAGTTACATCCAGATACTCTAAAACATCGACTAATGTTGTCAACAGATTCAACTTTATTGATGTTGCCAGAGCAGGGGACTCGAGTTACATACGTATTAGTATTATGACTTTAGACTTGACTTGAAAAAATGTTCAGCGACTCGTGACTTGACTTGGAAGTTTACACCAAGGACTTGGGGCTTGAATTGGACTTGACCCCATTACTTGAAAAGACTTGATATTTTACTCAAAATCTAAAGTTTAGCACACATTATTTATAAAGTAGGACCCATTAATTAATTTCACTCATTCTGTATTAATAAAGGCAGACTGTCTGTCTTTTGTTCACACTCTATGTGTGCATGAGCTGCAACACAGCAGATCTAATTAACCAGATTTAAAAACATGGAAAATTACAGTTTAAAGGAAGACTATTTGTGCAGCCAAGTTTATATGGACGGTGCAATATTAAGGCGCATTTTTAAAAGTATTTTAAAAATATTTTGTAAGTTCAGCTGCATGTTTCATCACGATTTAAGGAAAATACAGATTTAAAAAAGCACATGGTCTGTTAATTACATTTAACATATTACTGCAACATAGTTTTTAAAAAAAGACTTGAAGGGACTTGAAATTCCAAGTTTCAGACTTGGGACTTGACTTAAAAGTTGGTTACTTGTCTTAAGACTTGACTCAGACTTGACTGCCTTGACTTGAGACCTGAGACTTACTTGAGACTTGTAAAACTTGGTCTCACCTCTGGATGTTGCTCACAAAAACTGGTAACCAATCAAACATATTGGACAAATTTTAACTACAACAGTAAAAAAAACCATCAGACTGACAACATTTTCACACCTAGAAACATTTTCTAAGCTGCATATAAATAGATTATGAGTTTATTTAAAAGTAATAAAGGGTTATGTAATTTATCCTCCGCTCATTTGTTTAGTAACGTTCCCACTGTACATTCATCACCCTTTAATATTATTTTTTTGTTGCTCATTTGTTTGCCCATAGAAATAGACAAGAAATACTGTCAGAAGACATAAAGCATATCCGTGTATTTTATGTCTTTTAATGTAATTACATTGCAGTAGTACTTATTTTATAAATGTATGCATATTTATGAGACAAAACTAAGTGAAAATGTTGCTGCTTTGAGGTGTAACACAAGGAATGTTTCAGAAAAGTTTGTTTAAAATCCAGAGATTTTCTGTGGGAAAAATATAAAGATTTTGTATGAAGTAGACCTTTACCCTAATTCAAATTAATGATAAGATTTTTTACAATATTTTTCCTCTATTCTGTGTGATTATTCATTAAAAGGATGTAAAGAAAACCAAACCAATGTATGAAAATAATGACTCAGAAGGTTTTAATACAACTTGTAGTTATTATATGACCTCTATTTTAATTTGGCTGTGATTCTGTTTTATTTGAGTTGCCTAAATGAATTGGGTTGTGCTAATTTTGTAGTGTTTTAAAAGAGGCTGATTAGCTTTTTTTGTCATTTTTTTCCCCAGTCTTCTTGCACACATTTAACTTTGAATAACAACCTAAAAATGTACCTTAAAATAAGGGTGACACAATTCACAATTAGGTTAAAAATACAAAATAATATTTTTTACACAATTTAAATGCATTTAAAAAAAGTTTTATCATAGTTTATAAGAAAAAATACCAGGTTTTCCTCCAACTTCAGCATCAGAACAAAAATGGCTTGCTGAACTGATGTATTGATCACTTTACTGTATATTTATAGAGGAATTGGGTGGCAGTGACTTGCTGTTTTTCTCCTTTTTATTGAGAGTGATGGCAATGGAGAAGAGAGAAAACAGCTGTGATTTTACCAAGAGGGTTCAGTCCCACCGCAGAGACACAAACACACACAGAGACTGCAAAGACAAATTTCTAAGAAGCTACTCAGATTGTCCATAATAAATTAACCACCCTCTCGTGCAAAAATGTTAATACAGATGAACCAGTTTGCTACAACTTTTTATCTCCCGATGCTATAAAAAGCAGGCAATGAAGCACTGAACAAATTTTACAGAAACTATCATTTATTATTAGATGCACATCCAAATGATCATGCTTTGAAGAAGACATCCCATTTCAAGATCGTAGCCAGCTAAATTAATTAACCTTACCCAAAAAGAATTGTAACAATTCAGTTTGTTTTTCGGCAATTGTGCCAAAAATACATGTGATAATCAATGAGATGTCTTGTTTAAAGGCACTATCACTTTTCTCGATTGGAGAGAGCGGCCATATTGTTTAGGGCGAGCTGGTATAGTTGGATGCGATAACCAGGACATGTTAAATTTAGGTCAGCACATCAATGAAACTCCAATTTCTTTTGACAACCATTATTTCAATTTGATACATAATATCATCTGTGACGGGCTTGCAACTTTTACTGTGCCCCTTGCACTGTGACTGCTGGATATGGACACCAGTGACCCTCATGACTCCGATAGGAAGAAGCGGGTGAAAGATAATGCATGGATATTATCATACTGAGGTACACCCATCGGCAATAAATGGTGTTTCTAATTGGCAGACGTTAACCAATGAAAAACAAATATTTATTAGCAAACCAGAAATCTACCCATCATGAATTGTTTGTATTGACAGCCCGCCCCTTCCAATATGGCGCTGCGTTCGTACCACAGTGCTTGACGCCTCTAGCCAATACACCTCATAGGTGGTATTAACTGAGAGTCACCAGGGATCACACAGCATTACTCGCTCGTATCATTATTTCAGGATTTGATAAAAATGGCTGTAACTCTCTTTCAACATTATAATCTTAAAAAAAACATTCTGACTCTGTGTCTCCTCTGTTTTGTGTCTTGCAGGTATTTATGAGCAGACATTTCTTATATAACTGCAGCCAACCAGTCCTGGATGTAAAGATAGCCTTTTGTCAGGTGTGTGTTCCTTACAGGTAAAAAAGGTACAGTATTCCTTCCCTTCCGTTTTCCCTTCTCTGTGCTCGCTGCACGCTGCTGTGTCTGTGTTGATCTCACAAACATTAACATCCTTTGAATTAAACCTGGAATTTGAAGAGAGGATGTAGAGCTTTCAGTCTCTTGCAGATACTTATAGCTATGCAAAAATAAACTCATCCTGATCCAGACCCACTTTCTCATTAAAGTTCAATTCCTCGCGTGTTTGTCTGTAACTGAGACATTTGCTAAAGTGGGCTTTAATTGCCTTCCTCCCACCGAACTCTGATGGCGTAAATGCCAAACTCATTTGGAAACAGTATAATCTATAGATATTCAGTTTGTGTGTGAGGACTTCTACCAACCTTTTAACTGCAGCTCCAATTACTCAGGAGCTTTGCATGCTACGTTGCATCAAACCCGCATGTGTGTGGTGTCACTGCCTGTACAATACAATGTAACGTATGGAAAAAATTAGATCAAATGTTTGAATAACTTGTCAACTATGTTAAATGAAATCATTATACTCATTTTCTTGCCTTTAAAAAAGTGTTTCATTCTACAGCAGTATAGCCCAGTTTGGTTTGTGAGCTGTGGTGTAATTACAAAGTCCAAAATTAACTTAATGATTATTTGTGTAGTGCTTCTACTTCCATGTCTGCCCCGTTAAGTAATTAAAGCTTGTGTGCATTTGTAAATTTTAGTCGACTGAAACAATTAGTGCAACTAAAGCTATATAAAATGGTAAGAAGTCACACTTTTGCCGGGAAACAGGGTAAAGTTGTACTTTCCGTTGGATATTTTGTGACTGATTAACTGAACTGTAGATACAGTCTTATATTTTATGCTTTGTGATCAACTGCGGTCATTTAACTACAGTTAGAGAATCAACAAGTTGGTTTGAGTTTGTTTTTTTAACTTACTTCCTTGTTTTAGGTTTATGACATCGTATCCAGAGTGAACACATAATGGGGAGCCAGTTTGTTTAGATTTCCAGTAAAAACTCAGAGTAAAAGAAATAGAGTAATAAGAATAAAATAGAGTAGAGATGCACTAATGTGGAAATTTCAGCCGACATCAATATCCTACTTTGTTATTGGTGTTATGGCCGATAACCAATATTTACCGATATTGCACAAACCATTATTGACCAAACATTTCCCCTCCCAAAACAGAAACACAAAGTTTAAAAGTGGGATATCAATATCGGACATTAATATCGGCCCAGTTTTACATATCGGACCGATACAGATATTTTAAAAAATGATCAATATCAACTGATACTGATGTTAATGCCGATATATCCTTAATATAGACTTTAGATGTGAAAATAAACATTCAACTGAGAACTTAATCAGTTTTCTGCATATTATTCGGGCTTCCAATCTGAACAGTTCTTTACAGTTCAGTCATATTTACGCTGCTCTCAGTATCACAGTTACTTGCTTAATATCTTTCCATTATTGTCACAGGAAAAGCATAAAAGATTTTGGTAATTTTAAGAACTTAAAAGTCTTGTCATATTGAGTAAGCTATTAGAACTAAAGTAGGGATGTAACAATACATCGATCCACATTGATATATCAATTGAATGATTCAATTACATAAAGGCAAAATGAAAACCTTAATCTATATCGTCATCATATGACCCAACGCAATCATTTGGGCATATGATATAGCATCACATCAATCACAGACTTGTGAAATTAACTGAATTAAAATCATATGACATCGAGAAACATCGTATCGTCATCCAAACAAGTCAACAGAATATTGTATTAAATTGTATTGTGATAAAGCTTTTGATTTATTCCCCTAAACAAACTTGTGTTGTTTTAACAATCAGAAAGTGATGCCTCCTACATTTTGTCTTTAGAAATGATAGGTTTTTAGGTTTAGATCCGAATTGTTCACTTCTTTTTATAAAGCACAACAATCTGTTATGTAAATATGTAATTGGCAGTCATATTTAAATCCAATATGGTGACCATAAAAGGAAGGTTGTTTTGGGGTCTATTTATCATCACATCCAGCGTCTTTACATTCCAAATATTTCTGCAAGTAGTGATTCTGGAAAAAATTCACTATAACTGCTTCATTGCAGGAAAATCTAACATCTAATGATTAAGCTCTGAAAATGCTAAAAGTAGGGCCTGTTACTAAGTAACAAGGTAACTAAAGAAAACCTTACCTTATATTTTTGTTCTATTTTTTTACAGCTTTAAGCCTTTTTGCATAGGTCAAATAAAGCAAAGACAGTTCTTTATTTTTTTTTATTCTTTTAACAATAAGAACCTCTCACAAACTGTGATCCAAGGAGCCCAGATTTTTACAGCCTTTGATGGGTGAGGTGCCTCTGAGGCTGCACAGCTTCGCAGTGACTGATGCAGCTTTAAATCTGTGTCTTATCAAACATTGCTCGGAGACAATGTAAGGCCATCTGGCTGAAAGCTGAAAGCCCGAACTAAAAAAAAAAAGAGGTGAATCTTCAAGAAGAAAAATGAAGTTCAGCAGAAAAGCAGATAGGGAGGGTTATAAAACAGCTGACTCAACGCCCAGAGCTGAACCCCACCAAAACGGCTGTAGATCTTAAACAGATTGAAGAAAACTCTCCAACGTGTCGCTGCTGAAGGGCTTCTGCATGGACGAGGTGTTGGAAATGTTTAGAAAGTTATTTCTGCCAAAGAGGGCTTCAATGACCATTTGGACCCAAGGGCAGCAGGAGTGTTAACATGTCCTAGTGCAGATTAGCTGTTGCTTTGTAATACATTTTCTTCCACATGTTTTATGTCTTTTTGTGTAAAATTAAGACTCTGATTCACCTTCAGCTTCACTAACAGGTCGTCTCTGTTCTATTTGCCTGATGCAGGGTTTTGGAAAACAAGTGGATGTGTCATATATCGCCAAACATTACAACATGAGCAAAAGCAAAGTGGACAACCAGTTCTACAGTGTGGAAGTGGGAGACTCCACCTTCACAGTTTTAAAACGCTACCAGAATTTAAAGCCCATTGGCTCTGGAGCTCAGGGAATCGTCTGGTAAGTTTCTCAGCCGTGCCCCAGCATCACACTGTTTTATGTGCCTTTCTGTAATATTTAATATTTTCATTGTCTCAATGAACCATTAGCTGTTTGCCTGATTGTTCTGTAGTTCACTGCTGCAGGTGATGAGGGGAGTAGATGCGGAGGTTTTATTTATCTTCCAAAGTTATTTTTTAGTGATTTGCCATAAGGAAGCCACACATTATCACCTCAGAAAAAAAGAACTGCATAATTATTGGATAAGAAGTAGTAAGGCATTTAAAAGTAGCCATGTAACTAAACTTAACGTGAAAATTGATTTTTCAAAACTAAAATACATTTATTTAAAGATAGTATTTCTTATTTTGCCAGAGATCTTAGTGTGCTTTGAAACTCTTATGTGAGTGAAAACATGAAGAACTGAAGCATATTTAGTATAACATCAAGCTTTGTGTACACTATGCATTCCATTTCATTTTTATGCATGCCCATGCTATGTAGCTTTAAAGTAACCCTCATGTTTTGTTGATACTTAATGTTAATATGGGGTTTTGTGCCGTTCACAAGCATCTTTTTGGCGCCGGTCTTCCACGAACCTACAACAAAGTTTGACTGTCAGGCTTCTGTCAGCATCTAGCCCTGGCCTCATCCACCATGTTCTTAATCTTCCTCTTGCTAGTCCTCTCTGTTAGGGTTCAATTTCTGTACGAGCAAAACTCATAACAGCAGCTTGAACATCTGTTTCTTCTGACTCCATGTTTGCAGAATGAACAAGAGGAAAAGGTTTGTCCTGTTTGGACGCCTCATCCCACCTAGCAAAATCCGTCTGGCCCAGTTCTGGCCCACACAATCCACTAAACACTCAAACACTCGTCTCAGATAGGGCAAAGAATGATGGCACAGATGCAAGTGGTCGTGGATGGGCCAGCATCACATAAACCAACCACAACTGGGCTGGTTGTAGCATGCCATCTTAAAAATAGTATCATTAATGCTAGACCCGGCCGACATCCAGTTGACAAACCTCTTGCCATGCTGGCAGTCAGATGACACCAAATCTGGCCTAAACCTGACTGCTGTATTTCTGTCATTTGAAGTAGGAAAGCAGCTAAAACATAAAACCAAGAGAACCATGGTTGGGGACCTCTTGTGCAGATGTTCTCCGTGCTGTTACATCTCCACGTATTCTCCAACAACATTGTTACACACACTTCAGCAACTGTGTGACATCTGGACCTAACAGTTTAATATTTTATCTGAGTCCTGCTGTCATTGCCTGAAGCAAATCAGTCTCTATAAGTCAATAAAACAAGGACATATGGACAACAGCAAACAATTTTATTTAATTATTACTGCTATTTTATTTTACACGTGTATCAGATAACTTGTAGCATTTAAAATCATGGACCCTGTGAGTCGAACAGGACCAGCACTTAATTGAGTCCTGCGTTCAGGCTGCAGAGTGAAAGCCTGTTTTCATTGTGATTCTCCTCACACCGTCCCTGTCAGAATGCAGAGGAACAACTGCCGAGGCTCCACTTACAGCAACGCCTCTTACTGCTTCTGTCAACCCACCAAAACACATCTATAAGTCATATTCATGTTAACGTTGTGTCACTGCAGTGATATATGTTTCTCCATAACGCCACCTCGGCTGATCCAAGTTGACACGTTTCATTTCAGTGTCTTATATAGCATTAAAGCTTCTCTGGCTCTCAACGCCCCCTTGCCCTCCACTTACCCTCTTTTATTGTCCTTCTTTGCTTCTCGGTATTTCTTCCTGGCCATCTCGAAGCAATTTTTGTGCAGCTCAAAAGTAGATTTGGCAGGCTGCTGCCACTAATGTGGAGATTGCTTTTGAAGGGTATTGTAGAGATAAATGACAAGGATTGAACCTGTTCTGATGCACATTGCTCCACTTTGCCCACAGTTCGCATCTGGTGCAATATGGTGTCATCTGGTATCAAATGGTGTCAACCCAAAAAACTAATAGATGATCTTGCTTTCATGAGTATCATTGTGGCCCTCAAAGGGCCAATTGTGATTAACTTTGGCATTCCGAGTTTGACTTTGACTAAAACATCACGTTCTGATCTCATTGCTATGGCTTAGCGCCGCTGAAAAACAATAACTGAGCTCTATGTGATGTTTTGTGCATAGAAACAGCATTTTAACACATCCTAAGGGCAGAGGTGACGCATAAACACTAAAAAGTACCACGTGTACGACGGACTACATGTGAAATAAATAATACAGAAATGCTAAAGCTGCCATCTTGAATTCTGAACTCTCCCATGTTCCCACAGGGAATTCCCACCGGAGGGGACATTCCAGTTTAAATTTATGACTTGGAAGTGGGAATTCTAATTTCCCAGTACAACTGTCTTGTAGCAAAAGTAACCAGTAAAATTGCATCGAGATTGAGATTTTACACAGTGACTTTTATCAATTGCCAGCTACTTTGTAGCCCTGTGCAGCTCCACCTGGTCGAGTGATGCCATTATTTTCAGGCAAAACCATCGAGAGATGTACAGTAGTTTATGGTCAATGCTGGCTTTAAAGTGCTTATCTTAAGGCTTATAATCTTTGAAGCTTTATTGGGCCAAATAAAATGCAGTGGTGGTCCACATTTGAATGAATGAATGAATGAATGAATGAATGAATGAATGAATGAATGAATGAATGAATAATACTTTACTTACTTTGATCCCAAGGGGCAATTACCCTTGAGCCTTGAGTTTGATGTATGTAGATCAACAAACAAACAAACAAACAAACAAACAAACAAACAAACAAACAAACAAACAAACAAACAAACAAACAAACAAACAAACAAACAATCAATCAATCAATCAATCAATCAATCAATCAATCAATCAATCAATCGATCAAACATAAACAAATAAATTTCTTTATCCTAACAGAATGCTAAATCAAGGAGCCCCAACTGGGTGACATAATTGCATTTATATAAACATCTGTCTGATTGTCGTACAGGAACCACAAACAGACAACACAAGCAGAATGGGCCAGAAGCTTTAGTGTTTGTCAGGAAGGACGTGTTCTGCTTTTCTTATGCAATCAGCAGACTTATTATAGCCTGAGAACATGCTAATGAGAGAAAACTTGTTCCTTTATGTTAATCACACTAATCTGCACACATCTTCCTCTGACTTGTCTGCTCATATTTATGAATCTTAAGGACTGACAAAGGCTCTAAGTAATTTAGCTGATCATGACATCATCTTTCGCTCAGCTGAAAAAGTGATGAGTTGCTAAAATCCCCATTAGATAAAATGCTTTGATGAAAGCTCCAGTGTTTCCACAGCCAAGTTCATCCATGGCATGCTTTTACCACCGAGACATGAAGGACTGTTTCACATCCACAAAGAGGCCTAAAAAACCCCCAGCTCAGTCTACACCATCTTTTGGGGTAAATTGATAAAGAATGGGGCAGAAAATGATCTGACATCTAAATTCCAGCTCTTTCCCTGCTGCTGTTCTTTGAAAGCAAAACACAAAGTGTTGCTCAGAGCTTAAAGCTCCTAGGGGCTCGGGATTGTGTCGAGCCAGCGCAGCACTCACGCTGCTGTTTCGGGAAAAATAATGGTTTCAGCTACTTTATGGGAAGAGTTATGACTTACATTCCCTTCTCGTTTTTATTGCATTTATGTGTGTAAAATTACAACATAGGTTCAGAAAAAATGATATCTAGGGACTTCAATGTGTCTCAGATGTTGAAAAAAAATCTGCATCATTTTGGTGAAACATTCCTGTTTCAACTTTTTAAAAATGTGTCAGTTTGGCTGTTTGTCAATTTTACTGGACCGGATGTCACACAACGGCACTATTGTGCACTTCTGTGCACAGAGCATCACAATATCTATGAGTTGATTGTAGATGTAAAAATACTATGTTTATACTATAGGTTACAGCATTGCTATATCATTTTGTGTCTTTACAACCCGTTAGAGCAAATTTTTTATTATCATGTGAATGTGAAAACAATTATCCAAACAATAGAGAATTAAAAGACAAAAATAAAGAAAAGTTAAGACAAAGAGTGACAGAGGGAGAGGTCAAAACACTGTGTGGATGGCTGAAATAAACACAACTTAGATGATATTAGCAGTAAAATAGCTGACATGAAGCACAAAAACTTGAAATTCAGAAAAAAGCCAAAATGCTTTTAAAAAGCTGTTTCATGCCTGTCCCATGGCAAGATTTTAAAATTGTCGGATGATTTTCAAAGACTGAGAGACCCCACACGACAATAATAAAAATAACAATAAAAAAATCATACGTCCACACACTGTAAGACAACACTGTTGATTCAGCATTAAGTTACCATTCTGCTCCTTTTAGCTTGTTGCTATTTGCAGCTTATAGATGGCCTTTTGCTACTCTTGCTATTAGCTTGCCTTTTGGTACTTTCAGGTTTGCTTTTGAGCAAACCTTGCCAGCTCTTGCTAGCATTTACGTACTTAAAGCGTTGAGAATTTTGTACACTATTTTAATTTTCATACGTTTAAATTAAAATAAAAACAAAATGTGTCCTTCTGTCTGCAGCAGAAATTCCAAGTGAAAAACTGATTTTAGTGTGTCATAATAAATAAAAATTATGGAATCACTCAATTTTGAGGAAAAAAAATATGGAATCATGAAATACAAACAAACAAAAGAAGACTCCAACACATCACTAGAATTTTGTTGCACCACCTCTAGATTTTATGATAGCTTGCAGTCTTTGAGGCAAGGACTGACGAACAGTATTTTTCATCAATCTGGCTCCATCTTTCTCTGATTGATTGCTGCTGCCAGATCAGCTTTGCAGGTTGGAGCCTTGTCATGGACCATTTTCTTCAACTTCCACCAAAGATCTTCAATTGGATTGAGATCTGGACTATTTGCAGGCCATGACATTGATCTTATGTGTCTTTTTTCAAGGAAGGTTTTCACAGTTTTTGCTCAATGGCACGATGCGTTATCATCACGAAAAATGATTTCATCATCCCCAAACATCCTTTTAATTGACGGGATAAGAAAAGTGTCCAAAATATCAACGTAAACATTTCATTTAGGCGGTGTCTTATAGTTCGGTCACAGACGTTGACTCCAGTTTTCTCCTATTCGTTCCACATTTGTTTTGTTGTGCATTTTCTGTTTTGGAGTCGTATTGCTTTAAGTTTTCTGTCTTGATGCTTTGATGTCTTTCTTAGTCAACCAGTATGTTCGTCTTTAACAACCTTCCCATGTTGTTTGTATTTTTGGTCTATATTTTAGACACAGCTGACTGTGAACAACCAAAATATTTTGCAACATTGCATGATGATTTGCCCTCTTTTAAGAGTTTGATAATCTAATTTGTTTCAATTGACATCTCTGGTGTTGGAACCATGATTCATGTCAGCCCACTTGGTGCAACAGCTCTCCCAGGTGTGATCACTCCTTTTTAGACACAGACTAACAAGCAGATCTAATTTGATGCAGGTGTTAGTTTTTGGGAATAAAAATTTACAGGGTGATTCCAAACGTTTTTCCTCAGAATTTAGTGATCCCATAATTTTTTCCCTCTGCTTGGTCTAAAAAGTTAACGATTACTGACTACCACATTTTTTTCTTGATTTCTTTTAGTGTTTCTTAATGCCAGAAAGTTGCCATTTGAAGTAACTTTACTTTTGTGTCATGTCTGTGATCTGCATTTTTTCTACAAAATTAAACAACTGATCTCCTCCGAGGCCGGTGATTCCATCATTTTTGCCAGGGGTTGTAGCAGCATTTTAGCTGCTATGATTTAAATCAGGTGTGGTCACAATCCTGGCATGCAGTTTGGGTCAGTTTGAGATATATTGCAATCCTTCCTGATTCTGATATTACACCCATTGATGTTGTGTTGACAATAATTGTTTTTGTGCAGTCCTAAAAAAAAGCTAGCCCAACTCCGTTTTAAGATAAATAAAAATGTGTATTCTTGCTGATCTTCCTCTGAAAGTTAAAGCCACATGGTTTTTGCCACCTTATATGTTAAAATATTGCATTTAGGACAACGATCCGCTCTAATTTGATACTTTTACTTTGTTTTTGCTGTTGTGATCAGTGACATTCATCGTGGATTATCTGTCACACACACGCAGAGACAGTCATCCAGCTGTGAATGCTAACAGAATCTCTCTCTCTCTCTCTCTCTCTCTCTCTCTC